GCCCGAGGAAAGTTTTAAATTTAGAGTCTCTGAAATGCCATTTCCTTAACTTTGGGAAAGATTTGACAGAATTCTGATGGTCAGAAAACAGCATTTTAGTATGTCAAAATTTACAATTTCAAACAGCCCCCCCCTGGTTGCTACGGCCCTGGGGTGAAATATAACCACGGTCTATCGCATGCATCAGTTAGGTACAAAAAGCTAAATTCTGCACCAATAGTGCAATATATGCGATTGTCCATATCATATAACCCTCTAAGTGGCAATGTACCCTCATGTGACCTACTTTATTATTTTACTGTGTCTAATGCCAAGGATTTTACTCATCAGGGAGAGAGTGCTGTCACTCAATGGGTTAATTCACAAACGACTCCTTAGTCCTTAACTGTCTGATAAACAATTTTTGTGTTTTAAAATTTGTTATAAACAAGTTAAAATAAAAATACACAAATCTGTATTTATCCTCAAATATGAATAAGGGGTTGTTATAGCCCAAGGCCCAAATATGTACACTTGTGCCACAGTGCCAGCACAAAATGGGCTATTTTGGCTTTCAGTTCTGCTGGAATGAGGTGATAAATTTTTAGCTTTGGAATTCCTCAGGGATAAGCAAATTTCTGTGTGGAATTTTTTGGGGGTAATCTGGTAATGGCTATTTTGAATGAGATTTTCTCAGAGGTCAAATGTAAAAATTGAAATTCTTCCAGGGTCTCTCTTCATGGGTATTAACAGGAATTCTTCAGTGGATCTCTTTTATGACCTGTAGGAATTCTTCAGTTCAGCGATATGATGAACTTTTGTGCAACGGACCTGATTGTGAGATTCCACTTCATTGAAAGGACGACCTTAGGACGGACCATTAGAAAAGTGATGGGGGGGGGGCAAAACCAAAAAAAAAAATTATTCCCAGGAAAAAATTAGGGAAAAAAATCTTCCCAGGCATAGTGCAAAAAAAATTCCTTTCCTGGAAGATAGGCCTATAAATTTTAATAAAAAAAATATATTTCCAGCCATCAAGTGAGAAAAAAAAATTTCTATAGGTGTACAAAAAAAAAATCTTGCCTCTTAAAACATCCCCCCCCCCATCACTTTTCTAATGGTCCGTCCCTTAGTTAATTAAATTTGCTGTATACATTATGTCGCAACGTGTCACTATTTATATAATAAACTTATGTACAATTACAAATCAAGCCCACAAATCGTTGAATATACTCTTACCGCTCGTTGCAAATCACGCAGGCGCCTATTTAAAAAGCCCCAGCAACTTAACGCTCGAGAGAGCGTCTTGTTATCTACATTGAAAAGGGAATGGCTGCAAAAATTTCAATATCAGTCCCCCACACACCACTGTTCCTCATGTTGCTTGTGGCTAAATAATGATCTACTGAACTATTCATATATGGTCTAAGGACATGTTCTATACTGTTCATGTGATCCACTATTTTTTGTCTTAAAATCATGTGGTATGTTTGTCTACCGGTTAAAATATACGACAGTGCTCTAAATAAACAATTGCCATCCCCAGTAATCCGACAGAGTTTCGTTGGATTAACTAGTGGTTTTGATGTTGTTTCATTGCGTCTAAATATAAGTGGGACATTCATCAAAGAGCATATAAAGGACAGCTGAAATTCTCCTGATAGAGGATAAAAATGAAGCGATTTATCGATACACTGCTGAGACTCGTGCGTGCCAGCTGATACTAGGCTACAGTGCAAGCGCAGTCATATGAAATATACAACGGCAACGTGACTTTAATACCAAGATTTTGTGTCGTGTTGCTTCAAGTAAGACAAATATGTCCTTTGTATTCCGTGACAGCTAAAACATGAATTATTTAAATCACAATCGACAGAAACTATGGAAACAGTGTTGAAACGGTGTTGAAACACAGCTGACAGAGGCGCTCGAAAGGCACCAGAAAATGTCAACACTTGTATATATATTGAACAAAATATTGTTAATATTTCAGCTAAAAGGTAGATCAGTGTGTTAACAGCAGATCTGTTGGGTGAAGTAGAAAAACAGATAACAATTAAGTCAACTAAACAAAAACGAAACACTCACCTTTTAATTTAACATACGCTTGTCAAAAAGTCAAAAGTTGAAAAGAACGTGAAGCGTGCTCCAGCCCAATTTTCGGTTCCAAAAGACCCGTTCGCAGGCAAACACTGCGCGCAAAGCAGGCTGGTCATTTCCCATTGTTTAACTGCCCCCACTCAAGTAAACCACAAAGACTCACAGATGTTGCTTCGCAACATCCGTGAGTCAAAAATAGAAGAGGACCAAGATTTGATCCTTGTGGAACCCCACAACTTACTTTCTTTGTGCACGATGTTGCATTATTGACCACGCAGAATTGTTTTCTATTGTGCAATACGATTTAAACCAGTCTAGGGATTTGTTTCGAATCCCATAAGTAAATAACTTTTTAATAAGAATTTTCTGATCAACTGTGTCAAATGCTTTGCATAGATCAAGGAAAAGAACACCGTTTATCAACCCAGCATCCATATTCAGTAGCCATGAATCAGTATTTTCTAAAAGAGCTGTTGTGATTGAGTGACCTTTTCGAAAACCGGACTGACATGGGCTCAGAATATTATTTTTGGTTAAAAATATATTTAGTTGCGAACAAGCAAGCTTCTCAAACAGTTTTGCGATTATCGAGAGTATAGAAATAGGCCGATAATTACCTCGTTCTTCTTTGTTTCCAGATTTATGAATTGGACTTACTCTGGCTATTTTAAAATCATCAGGAAAAATTCCATTACTTACGGAGGCATTAAAAATCAATGTTAAAAAAGGGGTCACAACGTCTTTCGAGTCCTTTACAAGTTTGGCTGGAATATTGTCAGGCCCCACCGACTTAGATGTATTTAATTTACTAATTTCATTAAGAACTTCCTGAATATGAATATCTGAGAAGTTAAACTCCTTTTGAGCACTAAAGTTCATGTACGTTTCAAAGCTGACATTAGTTTCAGGAATTTGGCTTGATAAAGTTGGTCCAATATCGGTAAAATATTCATTAAATAGATTTGACATGCTCGAACTTTCAGTGACTACTTGATCGTTAATTTACAATGATGAAATGTTTGTGGATTTACATTTTTTATTAATCAAGTGATTAATATTTTCCACATTTGTTTAGTATTATTCTTATTTCTATCAATGCAGTCCGTATAATAAAGCCAGAGTGCATTCCATGCACGTTTTGTGGAAGATCTTCGGCGTGAGTTTTGAATTGTTGGCGCACAATCACATCGAGGTTGGCGCACAAGTTTTGAGTTTCGGTGGTTGGCGCAGCATCAAATGTTTAAGCGAGATTTTGAGTATTAATAATCGCCTGGTGATTGGATTGGCCTCTATAATACTTTAGGGACTCGAGAAATTTGTGTTCCTGGTCAGTGTTTATTACTAAATGGTGGTTATAACTTGTGATACAACAGAACAGTCAGGGCCGTAGCTAGCATGTAAAGTTGCCCCCCCCCAACTTTGAGTGGTTGGGGGGGGGGGGGGGTAGGGCAAAAATTTCCGAATGACGAAGAAAATTTCCGAATATTTCATGGCATACGAAGCCACGAAGGTATTTGCTATCCGGAAAATGAAGATGCAATTTACAAACAAAAATACACATAGTTTACGCAAAGACATATTACAGAAGCATGCAGTGCCGTAGGAAGCTCATTTTTATTGGGGGCTGGGAACGAGGGCCGAAGGCCCGAGGAAATTTTTAAATTTAGATTCTCTGAAATGCCATTTCCTGGACTTTGGAGAAGTTTTGACAGAATTCTGATGGTCAGAAAACGGAGTTTTAGTATGATATTTGTGACGTTACTCTGAATATGCATCCACAGCGGGCAAGCTGAAAAGTTTGCTTGGCCACGATGGGAGTCGAACCCGCGACCTTTGGGATACTAGCCCAATGTTCTGCCAACTGAGTACGTGGTCAAGTCGGTTCGAGTTCTTAATAGAGTTTTAGTATGTCGAAATTTACAATTTGCTTACAATTTAGTAGAACTAAATGGGCGAAGGCGTATTTAATTAACTATATATTGCAGGAAAGAGTATAGGTAATATGATTCTTTGCGATTTGTCATGGATAATGTAGCCGCTTAAAATTAATCAATAGACCTTTCCCCTCTGAAGTTTCCCCTTATGAGTGAAATTTTGATCTAGACAAGCCTAAACAAAAATTTTATCACAGCTTGAAAGAGCATCACAAAATTAGTAATATTCCGAAGGTTCGTTAGGAAATGTAAAATGCGGATAATATAGAAGAAAGAAGTTTGCCGTTTTACAGTCATTGTATTACAAATGGAAATTGATAATCAGTTTGATCATCTGATTATCAATTTCCCGTTTGTAATGCAAAATGACTGAAAAACGGCAAACTTCGCAAGGCTATATTATCCGCATTTTACAACATTCAACGAAACTTCGGAATATTAATAATTTTGTGATGCTCTTTCAAGCTGTGGTGAAATTGTTGTCCAGGCTTGTCTAGATCAAAATTTCACTAAAATGGGGAAATTAAGGTCTATCGTACAGGTGTGCAAATCCGATCGGATTCGTTCGGATTTCGGAACCAAAATGTAAATTTCGGATCGGATTGATAAAGTTGTTTCGTAGTCGGTTCGGACTTCGATATCCGAAATAAAATGAATTAATTATCCATGCATTATCGCAAGAATTAATTATCCATACATTTATCAAAGTATCATCGCAGTTTTCGCTGCATTATTCGTTTGATACTTCAATTGGACGTCACTTTGTCAGCTTCTTGACATGTATTTCTTGCTTTTATATTTTTTTGGTTAAATATTTCACCTTGAATGAGAAATTTATTTTATTAAAGAATTCTTCGGATCGGATCGGATTGGAATTCTTTTTCAAAAGTCGGATCGGATTAGACAATTTCGGATCGGATTTTAAACATTAGGCAATTGTCGGATTATAAACGTCCGATCCGATGCACACCTCTAGTCTATTGTCAGTATTTTAAAGGTATATTATTTAATTAAATGATAAAGGTGTGCATGATTTTGAAAAAAGAATGATTATCAGCAAATTATTGTAAGGGCTGCTGCCCCCGATCGACTGCTACGACCCTGAGAAGTAATAAACCGAAAAACATTTACCGATTTACGATTTGTTTTACGTTATCCGTGTAAATGCCGTGATTTCGTAAATCAGTTTATACCAATGGTTTATACTGACAATACCATTTTATAATATTTTCTCTGTTTAATTAAACAAGTAAAATTTTGTTATACTATTATTGCCGTAATTTTCCGAATGGCCAACCCGATTTTCCGAATATGTTAAATCTACAAAAGTTGGGGGGTTAACCACTTCCAATAATTCTTCGCTACGGCCCTGACGGCGTTATTGCATTTCGAGAGATGTTCAAGAATAATTCAACTGTTAACGTTAGTGGGAAAGCTGGTCACAACGTGGACCTTGATGAATACGTCGAAACTTACATAGTCAGGCCATTAAAAACATATGCAACAGGTATTTGGATGTATTTTAGTATACTTTATTCGTAATTATTGCGTGCGATTTTTTCGAGACAGTACTTGTCGAGGCTTTATTTTTGCGATTTCGGCAAGGAATAATGTAAAAATGTTGAAAATGACAAAATTCAAAAGAAGTTTCTTCGCGACGGTTTAATTTCGCGATCTTTTTACGTTCGCGAAATAAAAAATGTGCGATATTAAGTACGAATAAGGATAGTTTTCCCTTCTGGCGTTGTCGGGATAAGCAGGAATGTCAGTTATTTCAATCATTCGCAAATCCCGGTCACACATGTAGGTAGGTTCGTTGTCTTTTGAATATATTATTTTATAATATTAAGGTATTTTTGTATTTTGCTTTTAGGTCATACATCAGTTCAGATGTGTCAACGGCTAATGGGAAACCTTCAAATACTTGGCTCAACTCGGAATGCTTACGCCAGTCGACAAGCATTCAATATACATCCAACTACAGAGCAAAGTTCATTCTGTGTGCTTCTGGTTCTGTGTGCAGAATGGCTTTTTTGAACTCAGTGGAAGCGATGTGCCAAACGAGTACCCATTGAAAGGCCCGGCTATCCAAAAGCATGTACCAAAAATGCTAATGCAGAATACATAGAGAATAATACATGAATGCGCGGAAATACCAGATTTATTTCGAGTGTTGAACATGACATCTCACGAGTGAGCGCAGCGAACGAGTGAGATATCATGTTCAACACGAGAAATAAATCTGGTATTTCCAAGCACCCATGTATTTTTCTGTTTATTATATAAACGACAGTCTTTGAAAAGCGATAATTTTTACAGAAAAGCGATAATTGAAAAGTGATAATTTTCACATGTGAGATTATCATAAATAATCTCACATGTGAGATTATCACTTTTATTAGTGCTCGAAATCTCTATAAAGCACTACACTTTAAATAATAAATACTAATAATGCTTATCCGTTTCATTTTTGGCAGGGGCTCGTTTTGGGCTTACGGTCGAAAGCTTTGCCATACAAGAAAGCAGTCGGAAAACGCAAACCTCTGGGCATGCACCTCACCCAGTCCCTGCTGAAGAGATCTCACTCGAGTTCCAAATTTGACAATTGATCTCTTTTCATTAATTGTAAGGCTTTAAAGTGTTATTTTCGTGTCTACTGCACATGGAATTGTGAACAATTACAAAGAAATTCCTAATTCATCAGTTATTCTGTTTAGACATGCAATTAAGCATGATGAAAGCATATAACGTCCTTCAGCTTAGAGAAGGTAATGAATATACTGTACGAGGCGTTTTTCACAAACTCAAAATTGTTGATTGCTCAATCTTAAAAACAATTAAGTATTTGATATAGTGGGTGCAACAGTAATACATATTGGCTATTGCTAAATACACCATTTCGATAATTACGTCATTTAGCCTGGTAGCCTCGCACTCATGAATCATGAGCCAATCTCTTTTTATCAGCGACAGCGAGGCAAAGCGACGTGCGTGACGTAAATATCGAAAGGGTCTATTGGATAGAGCTGAATTGAACAAAAAATAATATTAGTAGATTAACTATTCTAACATGTCCATCTTGTACCCGTACGTCATATATTCAAAATTCTGCAATTTATGTACTCTAAATTTAGACATTCATAATCCTACATATCTTATTGAATTTTGTACTGTTCCTAGGAAGAAAACGACGAATTTAAATCAACTAAGTGAATTTCGTCTCATTTAAATTATAGTCACACCAAATGTTAATTTAAAGCTACTTTTCCATGCATTGGCATTAATATTTTTGTGATTTGTTTGACTCGTGCACGTGAATGTGGATCAGTAGATTACAAAGGAGTTATGTTATTACAGAGGAGATATGTTCCTTTCTTTCCTTCCTTCATATCTACTGCTTTTGGTCCTAGAACAACAACAGACGTTGTCCGATGACCGTTTACAACACGGTCACTCTCATTCAGCACTTCCAAAATCACCAAGTGTTGAATGAAAGTTCTTGTTTCTGCGTCGTTCTAGAAAACGTTTTTGCCAGCTCCATAGTGAGAAATTTGGCGAAAGCCTTTACTTTCTACTTCTCTCTATTTGGAGCCCTTGAATGTTTATGCCACTTGTTTTATACTAATAACGGGCGTCATTGTCTGCATTTCTTGAACGCATTTGCATATTAATTTTGCCTCGTTTGTATAATCTCTGAGAGCAGGAATAGGATTTGTGCAATTGTCACAAGTATTCTTACAGTCAACTTCAGACACTTCGCCAAAATGTTCCAAGACATATTGTCGTCTACAGATTGAAGACATGCAGTAGGAAATGACTGCATTGACTGAGCTTCTCAAGTAATCTTTTTGATCATCGGCTGTTTGAGGTGATATTGTGCGGAGAAGTTGGTTTCTATCCACAAACCTAAACATTATAATGCACGTGGACGGGTTGCCATCACGCCCTGCTCTACCAGTTTCCTGATAGTAGTGATATGGATTACAAACCGTACATCAGACTTGTCAATCCCCACGCCGAAAGCACTTGTCGCGCACATGATAAGTGCCTTGCCCTTTAGCCAAGCTTTTGCATTTTCTTTCTTCTCAAAATGATCAAGTTGACCGTGGTAATACGTTGCAGGTAAACCTTTCGACTTGAAGATGTAAGCAAGCTCAAAAGTATCTTTAGTGGAGAAACAACAAACACTGTCACATTGTTTGGCGTGTTTTACCTTGATATATTCTACTAGGTCTTCTTTGGGATGTTTTCCCCTTTCTTCATTACCGCAAAATGTACGTTTTCCCGATTACAGGATGCTTGAAAAATTTCTGGTGTCATGAGACCTAATTTCTGAACTATTTGTGCTTGTGTTGGAGGAGTTGGAGTTCCGGTAAAAGCACAAAATGACTTCCTAAATGCTTTGAACTCAGAAAGGTTGTTGTCAACTTCAGGCCCATAGACTCAGATTATTTATGTAAATATAATCAGTCGAATCGTAGGTACAGTACTGTCAAAGGGGAGTATCACCCCTTGGTTCAGGTCTATGTCAGAAGGGGTCGCTACCAGTCTGGCAGGGCCCTATCGGGGATTATCCCTGAGAGACTGATTACCCCTAGGGCATTCAGTCTCTCCTATAGCAGGTCTTATATATACCCCTGCGGGATGAAAACATAAGGCTTAAGGAGTATGTGGGTTGACCAGAGGTTAACAGTATAATGTATATAATTGGTTCACTTCACCCTGTACCCATTCTCCCACAATAATTTGGTGTGTGTTTTACATTTTGTCGGGCTGTTCTTTCACCTAACGTGCTTGAATCATTAATGCTGCAAAATTGACTCAGTCGTTTGACTCCTTATATAAACAAACATGCATCCAAACCAGGTGTTCGTACTGACTGGTACAAACAGTTTTAGTATATATATATATATTGGTTTTTACGCCTTATCTGTTGTTACATAGAGGGCAATATAGGGTAAGACCTAAATGATGCTAAAAGTTTTAAAAAACACTTTTCTTGTTGATATAAACCTAAAACCGAGGCTGTAGTGTGGGCTTATTAACAACTTCGTTCCTTAATAACCGTTATGACGTATTTTATGGAAAATACATGCTAATAAAAACTTCGTTCCGTGGTAGTTCTTAGCAACGCAAACGCCGCATTTGCCTTCCCTGCCCCCCCCCCGTATAAGTCCCGATTGTTATCTCCAAAAATCTGGGAGACACATGATCAGCCTGGACCAGGGTCTTTCCTCCAGCAAGGAGCGTAGTAGAAAGAGCCTGGGTACGAGTTATAATGCAAACATAGCCTTAAGCCTCGCTTACTCGAGCAAATTTTATTTGACAAATTTAATACGACAAATGCATTTGATCAAAAGCTAGTATGCTAGCTTTTGTTAAAATGCATTTATCACAATAAATTTGTCACAAATGTATCATCTACACGTGCAAAATATCTTTGACATATGAAATTTGTCAAATAAAATTTGCTCGTGTAAACGGGGCTTTACAGGAATTTTACCAAAAATATAAAGTCAGATGTTTACATTGATATTTTTATGCCAGCTCATCTGATGTTAACCAGACTTATTATTCTTAGTTCAATTCCTTCAAAAAACATACGATTTATCTGTCTGTGATTCCCAAAGACCTTGTCGCACTTGATGTATTAACTAAAGTAAAATATAGATGTCATTTTATCAAAAGATAACATATGAGTTCTTACCACTGGTTGTTGCGTTATTTTAATCAGATCTTTCAAGTAATAATACTGATGTCGTTCAAAAGCTTTAAACAATAATTCCAGAACATAATCTTTATCAGCTCTTGCTCTTTTTCCATCTTGCTTTTTCTTTTTTTCATGCTCTTCCTACATAAGAAAGAACAAATAAAATATGAAAATATATATGAATTTACATTGTTATATAGTTAGTATCAAAGTTCAATTTTCCTGTTTGCAGATTGTCAAAACGGTATCACGTGCCGGTCCACTCCGTTCCCCGAGCCTGCGATCCTCGGGAAGGAACGTGAGGCTCTAGGATAATCCGTTTCAGGGAGGAATCTGATTGGCCGTTGACTTGGAATGCGCAGTTCAATCTTAGCCAGGATTCCTGGCTTCCGGCAACGGATTATCCCAGAGCCTCACGTTCCTTCCCGAGGATCGCAGACTCGGGGAAAGAGATTGGTGCCGGTCCACAAAACGTCACGTTCACTGTATGCTTTAGCGAGGAGGCAACCGGTCAACAATGAAACATTTATTGACAGGTCAACAATAGAATACCCATGCGCATGCGCGTCAACATGAAGTTTCAAACACTTATTTACTGAGACCTCGGGAAAACAGTGTATTTTGTGGCCCCTCGACCGCAGTTGTTGCCCTCGGCTTCGCCTCCGGCTTGCTTTTTCTCTGTTATTTCCCCTCTAAACAAAACTGTAAGAGCTTTTAAAATACAAAATTTATCAGAAAGCAAAAAGGAATAGACCAAAGGAACAAAGCAAATGTTCTATAGTTCTACGTGTAAAATTAACCGGCTGCCAAATTTGTTGTTGTCTCGACAAGTTTTGGGCCAAAGCGTGCAAAGTAGCCGAGAAAAAGAACTTAAAAAAGATACAGGAACAACCTAGTACCCATGGGAAAGCCCCCCCCCCCCTTACCTATGGGAAAGACCCTGGTTGGGGCTGGTCACATGACTTTCCAAAAATATATTGGCTAAGGGGGAAGGGTAGAGTATCAAATTGCATGCTTTGAAGATGTTTCGTATCAAATCGGTCACTATGGTCAGTTGACAGTTGTTATTAAAACTGTTTTTATATTTCTAATATTTCTATAAATAATATGCCAGATTAGATTGGTTAATTGTTGTTTGCAAATGTTGAGAGGCTTTGAACCGGTTTACTTGAAATTGTCGGTACTCGTCTTGTTTTGTGAAGGTTGATAATTTCCAAAAGTAACTATATCACGAGTTTGTAAGCCAATGACATAATGTGAAAAATTTGGCATGTAGCTTAACAGATAGAATAGTAAAACCGTCTGTGATTTATCTTTGAACGTAGTTCATCGTTTTTATTGAAAACTTTAGGAGAGTGGGTATACGTAGTAAAGTACAAATTAAAATTCTCAGGTGAATGTAAAAAATCCCCAGCCTCGGGACTCAATGCCAATGGGCAATATACATGCATGCGCTGTCCTTTTTGCGGCAGATAGTAGCCTTCATGAATGAATCAAGCAAAAGAATAACAGCAATATATACAGTATAAAAATATAATTTTTCTGATATACATGCACAGATGACATTTTAATACGAATATATATAGCTATATATGCACCACTAAATGGATAAGCACAGTCATACTCACAATAGACATAACATTTAGAGTTTGGACTTTGGTAGCTAACTAGCTATAGGCTATTCGACATTTTTAAAGCTTTCGTTGAGAACAACCCGTTTATCTATAGTCTAGTGTAGGCCTACCATGAGCATAGACACCATGAAATATGTATTTAATTTAAGGGAAACATCGCAAATGTTTTTCTATTTTCCCTAGTAAAATAGACACTATACATTTCTTTACACTATAGGCTACAATGCCAGCATGCCTTTATATAAATCCGTATATATTTCGGAAAATAAAAATCCTCTTGTATTTATATTATTATAAAGAACATCGGTCACAGTAAAGTCAATGGAAATGTCACAATTCGAGCTGTTTATCAAATTTATACTTATTAATATGCGGTGTCTATTGATTATTGTCTATTCAGAGAGTATTGTCTATAAATATAATATCAGAGAAACAGGCTGAGTCTCTCTGGCTGAGTTGGGCTATATACCGTATAATTAGTACGTAAACACTGCAATTGTTAATCCTTTGAGTAGCTAGCTATTGTGTGGTATTATTTTACCGTGGATTTGATAACAGAGAGGTATACTTTGATTTGATTTGCCCATATAGGTAAAGCTAAATACATGTATATTTACAATGTATATTTGTACAAACATTAAGGGCTAGGAACCTTTATGAAAAACCCTATCTGGCTTTTATTCAAATGCCCCTAGTTTAAAAATATTATAAAGAATGATAAAGCTTGTTCAATCTTGTCAAAGACAATTAAGGGTTTTACAAATATAGTGATTTGAATATAAATATACACAATTTACAAGAGTTTATTATGCGAGATTACAAATGAAAGCCATTAGGTAGCCTATATTCCAAGAAAAGGATTTTCAACTTTTTCTTAAAAGTAGAATAAAACATATAGTTTTGCTAGTTTCTTTATCAAGAAAGTTCCATATTTTAACTCCCTTATTAACAATAGGGGATTCTTGCACTTCACTTGGTGGAATTAATATTAGAATGTTAGGGTTTGTAATCCAAGTGAGAATATATACATTTTAAGACCTAACCAGGAACGACTGCGAAAAATGCAGCACAAGGTCCTCTGGTAGGAATTGAACCTACGGCCCTGCGATTCCGGTGCAGCGCTCTAACCAACTGAGCTACAGAGGCCAGCTGTTGAGCTTTAACCGTAAGTTCATGTATATATATCGCAGGGCCGTAGGTTCAATTCCTACCAGAGGACCTTGTGCTGCATTTTTCGCAGTCGTTCCTGGTTAGGTCTTAAAATGTATATATTCTCACTTGGATTACAAACCCTAACATTCTCTTATTAACAATAGTACGTTTTGCATAATTAGTTCTACCATAATTGACATGCAATTTGTTAGAAATCCGAGTATTGTAATGATGCACTTCATCGTTTTGTATGAAGTAGCCATTAAAAAATTCAAGTAGATTTTGTACATGTTTAAAACAGTACATAAATAAACAACTTAAATAGTCATTAATCTTAAAGATATTCAAGATCTTCAATTTTTGAAATAATGGTTTTGGGTGTTCAAGATAGGATTTAAAATTCATCAATCTGAAATTTTTTTTCTGTAAATTCAATATTTTTGGCAGCCTTGTTGAGTACGTGTTGCCCCATATTAAATTCCCATAAGTAAGATATGGGTAAACTAATGCATAATAAAGTACATTTAATGTATTTTTGTTTGTATATGTCGTATTTTTGGAATCAATGCCAATGCTTTAATAATATTAATAATAACTGAGTTTATATGGGTTTTCTTGATCTATTATTACACCTAAAAATTTGACAGCAGTAGCCTGATGTATAATGTTATTGTTAAGTTGAATATAAATATCAGTGTCACATTTTTTATTTTTTTATTTAAAAATGACGTACTTAGTTTGTTTAGTATTTATTGATACTTCATTCATTTCTTTTTGCAAGTAGTTTTCAAACCATTTTAAGCAATTTCCTCTTATACCATATTGTCCTAGTTTTTTTAGAAGAATTTCATGGTTAACTGTGTCAAAAGCCTTAGATATAGCCTAGATCAAGGAAAATACCGATTGTGTATTTTCCTTCATCTATGGCCTTTGAGATTTTGTCAGTTAATTCAATAATAGCATGTTCAGTGGAGCGATCTTTCCTGAAACCATATCGATGTTCAGATAAAATGTTTTGTTTTTCAACCTCTCCTCTACATTACTTTTTCAAGCAATTTCGAAAAACACGTGAGAACTGAAATTGGCCTATATTTTTCAAATAGACAATTTTCATTTGCTTTAAAGTAGTATTCGGTTATAATCCAGTTTCAAAAGTTAAATTGAAAATATGTGCAAGAGGTTTCCAAATCTCTTGTTTTATTGCTTTTACCATTTTGGCACTGATACTATCATGACCTGCACTTTTAGTTACATTTAAAGTGGAAGTCAAGTCCGTTCTGCGCATCGGTTGTGCTCATAACAATGAGAGGATTTCGAATATTTCGAATTTTTCTGAACATAAACTTTATTTCATATTCATTTAGAAGCATAGCGAACGAAAATGGTGTTAGATATTCAGACAGTACATCACATTTTAAAAAATACAGCAGTTCAAAATGTAAACAAACCGTTTGTTTACATACAGACTTGACTTCCACTTTAAGTTATCAATCTCAGTCAAGATTTCGTATTCTGTAACTGGTTCAGTAAACATACTTTCTAAATAGGTACCTTTGAGATAATTTTCAAATGGTATTGTGTCATTTTTTAATACATTTGGCCAGATTGGGTCCAACATTTACAAAATATTCGTTGATTTTTTTGCAATCTCAATTGGGTCGGAATAATTAACATTTGAGTTCTTTTCTCGAAACATATCAGGAGGCCCTTTCTTCTTTTTATTGTTTCGATTTAATATTCGATTAATGGTCTGCCATGTCATTTTGCCATTGTTTTGTATTTAATATTCGGCATATTTCTTGATCGTTGAATTTCAGTGAAGCCAATGTAGGAAATTACACGCCACGGTCTTTAATATTGTCACAAAGTTTACAATTGGCGATATTTCGTAAATCATAAGATCCCTCTAGTCGTTATTAAATAAATCCTTTGGGTCGAGTATCAGGATAGACTGGTCAATCTAGAAATATACTAGAAATACATGCATGCAACAACCATTATTCTCCAAACATTGTTTCAACATGAAGTATTCGCAGTTACGCCAACACTGAACGCAGGCTCGCGTTGACACGTCATGTCAGTCATGGCAACACGATAATTGTTTTTTTTTAATTTTTTGTAAAACCTGCAAAAAATAGATGAAACTTGAACACTTTTAAATACAGAATTATCAATATATCAAATAAATAAAGTAGGTATATTATTTTGGTTTCTGTGCGCTTTATTTCTAATGTAAAATTCAAAACGAAACTCTACGTAAAACGTTTTTAAATGTGAATTGAAATTAATTGCTTTTTGCCGATATTAAACTCTTCAACTTATTACTTGCACTTTGAAATGAAATAAATTTAATTCGTACAGGACGCTAATTAATTACAATAATTTGCTTACGTTTAAAAATTGAAAAAAAAGTTTTACAATTTGTTATATGAATTAAACGATTTTTCAAGCGTTCTTACATGTATTTTTTATGTTTTTCCCTTCTTCACTCCTATCAAACAGCCAGAGGAGGTTGGACAGCCAATTAGGCGAACATCTCGACCAATCAGATTGCGCCATTTTTCTCATGCTCGCACGAAGCTTTTGGCATCGAAAATTTACATAGGGCTCATAAATGTCGATTTTTTTCATATTGTTATGCAAATTTTTTTGAAAATTTCACGCGATACTACTTTTACAACAGTCAATGTACCCATTGGAACGGTATCTTAAAAGGTAAGCGTCATTTTCCAGTTTATTTTGACCTCTCACTTAGGCGCTATGCCGTCGCGATGTAATTTAATGGCGTTTCTGTCAGCAATCTTTGAAGACAAAAATCTCAAATCTCCATGGTTCGATTTCGCTATTTTTTTCACGATTAGTTAAATAAAAGTATAATCTTTAATTCTATCCAGCCGGCCCCCCTCGGCCTCTCGACCATTTTCGAGATATTCACAGTTGAATATAGCCCTTTGTAAAATATGCTGCCTTGTCACTCAGATCAATAATGAACTGCTATTACTAGCTTTTTTCTAAAGATATTTGATACACTACAGAAGATTCGATATATTATGGATTTATATGTATTGTTTAAAGTATGTAAGTAATTAAAGCACTTCTGTAACAATATTTTGTTGCTGAAATTTATTGTTTGGCTTATGTTTTAGATTTGAGATTCGTGATTTTGGCTTGTGGATTCTATTTTTGTCAATGATTGTGCCTGCAAGAATTAAGCATCATCATTAAATTTGGAGTTCTAAACTTGTTCACCTCTCTGGTAAATGTTATTGACATGATGACTTCTGGATTTTCAAAATTAATCCAGCGACAACCAGAACAACTACTCATCCACCTGTTTCAAAAATGGCTGGTAAAACTTAATCCTGGTCTAGATGCTAAATTTGTCCCTCAAAATTTTCTCCCACTTGTTGCCAAGGCTATGTCTGTACTTCATGCTGGTCAAAAAGACAATCTGATTTATATAGCTGCTCGATGCTTTGGAGAACAACGCCATGGAGATGTTAATTGGTCCTAGAATGCCATTGGATAGAATGCTCTTTATAGCAGTGAAGGCCCACTTGTCCTTTTTAACAGTATTTTGTATAAATGCTGTTACACAACTAATTCAGATAAAGTTTGAGAAATGGTTGTTTTTATGCACCTATCAATGTTAAGCCCCACAGAGGGGGGTCGGACATATGTGGGGCATTTGATTTTTTGAGAAAATTTTCAATCAAATGTCCCACTGTTGGGCAATAAATATTGGCCAAATACCCCAACATTTTGCAATAAACTGCAATAAATACTATATTAATAAAAGTCATTTTGGTTCAAATTGCACTAACTCGTGCCCAAAATCCTAATCAAAATCCCTAGGGTTGGGATGCAATTAATGATCAAATACCCCACATCTGGGACTTAACATTGATAGGTGCATTATATGCAGTTTTTTTTTGTATTCTCATATAATGTACCACAAAGTATCAGCAGCATGTTATTGTGGGACCTTTGATCAATATGTATATAAATAGACATATTTTTGTTTTATTGTTGCATTAATTTTAAAGAAAAATTACTCACAAAGTTGGTCAAGTGAATGTATAAACTATTTATTTATTCATTTAGTGTACAGCACGTGTTACAATTATGTACTTAATTGCATGAGTGTGCATGACAAACATTGTTTTAATTGCACCCACTTGTGATTAACCTAGTTTTTGTTTAAAAATGCTGACAAAAAAGGGGCATGTGCCCCCGCCCGGCCGAGACGCGTATGGGGAACCATTTGAGTAAACATTGAAAAATACTGTTTCTTACGTTTGGCCAAGGCTTTAGTTTAGCGAAATAGTTAATTTGTTCCTTGATCGTGTGAATTGTATGTATATTTAAATATTCCCCATCCTGTTTGATACACAAACGTTAAAACGGTATTTTGAAACAATAGCCAATGAATTGAAGTGATTTAGCATATGAGCAAGCAAAATGTACAATGTATTTTAAACAATATTTAATGTGTGTGCATTTATTCGTTAATATTACAAGGTTTGATCTTTATTCCGTGATTTTATTTTGTTGTTTTACGGGGGAAATCGGGGAAAACCCACAGGGAAAATCCATTTCTCGCGTCTGCGCGTGCGTAGTGCGAGTTTGGCTGACTTGCGCATGCGTATTTGCTACCAAAATAATGGCGGTTCGAATATTTCGAAGCGGGAAAATAGCGAACTTTGGAGGGATTATTTTCGCAATTGTGCACCTGTTTCGCTTGGGGAGCAACAGATTCTGATAAAGTAAGTTTTTATCTATAGATTCATGTGAAAATTACGTTGTTACACGAGGGGTACAACGGAATCCATTTTCTAAGCATCTTTTGGATGCTCATCCTATGGCCTAATGCTGGTGATTAAAATACATCAAAAGTCTTTGATAGTTAAAACTTGTTATTTGTTTAAACAGTGTCTTTCAAGTGTTTATGTCATACTTCAGGCGCAGTGGCTGCTATCAAATTTTCCAAAATCTTCCCAGCTATAGTGAAGGCTAGGCCTATAATATAGAAAGCTATGAAATATTGTGACATAAACAATGAAGCTCATTTTCACTTAGTAGTATACAGTTGCTAGTACTCAATTCGTTGTGTTGTGCAGATAACCCATTATAACCCATCTTGTCATCATTTAAAACAACGACTAGGCTAAATTATACAAGGAGGTATGTAAATAAACTTGCATTATGTATAAGGCAAAAGCCCCCAATTTTCAACAACCAAAAACAGATATACGTAGACAACCTAATTGGCACCCCTGCATGCTGTTCCACCATGCATCCCCAGTGACACAACATATCAATAAATCAACATTTTTGTCCAAATAGAAATTTATCTTTTCAGACAACTTGAAGCATGATGAGTAAATACATTTTCTTGCACTCAAACAAGAAAAAGTGTCAGCTAATGAAGCGTACGTAAAATACCACATAAATTTCATGCTGCATTACAACTGAAAATTACGTTATTATTATTATTATTATTATTATTATTATTATTATTACTACTATTATTATTATTATTATTGTTGGAAACCGACTATAAATAGGTTATGAACAAACACTAGATATGAACACCATATAAGGACATAATTAGTGTATGATTGACATTTAGCAAAAACAACATAGTGAGACATTGCGAGCGAGAGAAATATAGGCGTGTAAACATAGTACAACATACGAAATAAAATCGAATAATTTGGCGATTAAAAACACAGTGAATTGTCGTGAAGGACGGCCCTTTTAGTAGAGCATTCCGACAAAGTGGCACCTGCGACGAGATCGAAATATGGATAAACTAGAGAAAGATTTAACCGGGAAATTAAAGCTATTAAAATTTACGTTCGAGAAAACATCAGAAATTGTGAGTAAAGCAAATATTTAAAAATATAAAGTTCTCTGACTAAAATTTTTTATTTAAAAACGAGCTTTCGACTACCTAACTGTAGTCTTCGACGGGTAAAGCGGAATGAATTAATATTAAATTACAAGCGTGCATGCATGTGTTAGGTGATATATATATATATATATATATATATATATATATAACAGGAAGTGCAAGATATGTGTGATAATTGAAGCGTCTAGCGATGACATTTGTTATTAACTAGCATAGCATATTGTTTCGGAAGCGGCTTAGAATTATTGTCAGAATTTGTTATTATAGCAGTATGCCAAGATTCTAATGTCTTACGTGTCCGATAGTTGCCACGATCTATTACTTTCCCATTATCAAAGTCAATTATATGGTCCATATCCCATGCATGTTTAGCTATGTTTGAGCCTTTTTTAGAGTTTTTTACATTTCGAATATGTTCCTTCTTTCTGGTTCCAAATGATCTTCCAGTTTCGCCAACATATGACCACGAGCAGTCAGAGGAAGGTATATTATATACGACGTTGATACGTTGTTCAGGTGGAACTTGATGTTTAGGGGTAGGAAAGATTCTTTGTAAGGTTTTTAAAGGTCTAGTCGTTACCCTAATGTTCTGTTTTTGTAATATACGTCGGAGTGCACCAGTTATTCCACTGATGTATGGTAGAGTCACATGTCCATATGGTTTGTCATCTTGAGTAACGCGTTTGAAAAATTGGCCCACAAGTTCCTCAGGTGATGGTTCACGTTTGTTAGCAGTCAAATCTTTTAGCGTTTGTTTAATAATTTTATCGGGATATCCATTACATTTTAGAGTTGTTGTTATGTGATTGAGTTCGTCTTGTTTGCTTGTGTGTTTGGTTGGTAAAGTTTGTGACCTATGTAGAAGGGTTCTAGCTGTGCTAATTTTGTGTTTAATGTCGTGGTGAGAGTTGAAGTCAAGATATCTATCTGTGTGCGTTGGTTTCCTGTATACGTCAACTTGCAGGTTGTTACCATGTCGCGTTATAAGTGCATCTAGAAATGAGATTTGATTGTCCTGTTCAAGTTCAATAGTGAAAGAGATGTTAGGGTCAATGTTGTTTTATTGTGAAATGTCGAAATAGCAGTCTTTTTAATGATCGAGAAACTGTCGTCAACAAACTAATAACTAAAGCTGACAAAGGTAACTGCTTCGTTGTGATGGACCGTCTGGACTATGATGAGAAAATGCAGGGTCTACTTGATGATATTACAACGTATGAAACAGTAAAGAAAAATCCATTTGGTCGTGTTGAAAGAGAACTAAACTCTAGATTATTATCTTCGAAGAAAGAAGGGAAACTTGATGATAGAACTTACAATAGGCTACACTCGACTGACGGCTTACCACCTACAATTCGCGGCTCTGTGAAACACCACAAGGAAGGCTACCCTCTGCGGCCTATTATCAATGGCATTGGTTCAGCTCTTTACAACACCTCAAAATACCTCACAACTATACTCTCTCCTATCCAGAACAACTCTGTTAAAAACTCCACCGAGTTCGCGCGAGAAATTAAAAACATAAAGATTGATGATGATGAGGTCATGGTATCCTTTGACGTTGTTTCACTATTTACAGCTATTCCCGTCCCGAAAACCTGTCAATACATACGGACTAAACTCGAACAGGACGTTACTTTGACATCACGCACTAATCTTACAATTGACGACATTATTTCACTTTTAGACTTTACGCTTTCTAACAACTATTTCATCTATAACAACGTAACTTACAAACAAATTCATGGCTGTGCCATGGGTAGCCCAGTCAGCCCAGTTGTGGCCAACCTCTGCATGGAAGTGATTGAAAATACAGCCATTCACACAACTCTTACAAAACCTAAAACATGGAAACGTTTTGTTGACGACAGTTTCTCGATCATTGAAAAGACTGCTATTTCGACATTTCACAATACTTTGAACAACATTGACCCTAACATCTCTTTCACTATTGAACTTAGTGAACTTGAACAGGACAATCAAATCTCATTTCTAGATGCACTTATAACGCGACATTGTAACAACCTGGAAGTTGACGTATACAGGA